TAAAATATAAAAACAATTTTATTTGCAGTTTATTTTAATACTTAATCTTTAAAGTGAACAGTAATAAATAAATTTGTAATTTAATAGTACACAAGTTGTTTTATTTTCTTTAAAAATGTGTGTAATTAGCTAAATGTTTGTGTAAAAAAGTTTATTAAACTCAGTAAAAGTAAAGGTAAGTATAATAATCATATTTAACAATTAAAAAATTGAATGTTTTATATACAAGGCGCCAAAACGATTTAAATATACATCATTTCATTTGTTAACAATTTTTAAAAAATGGTGAAGGCGCCAGACATAGAGATAACAATGGATTCAAACATCCACATAATAATTTATTTAAAAGAAATGGTGGAGGCGCCGGACATTGCTACTAGAAAATTTTTAGCGTGCACATCGAAAATTTGAATTTTTGTATTAGGATAGCATAAGTCGTGCAAGGTAAGATTTCTGCGCTCCTGATATTTAGTGTTATTATTATTTTTTTGGATGTAGTGGTTCTGTAACCGCTATCGATAACTTTATATACAAATACTTTAAAATTGAATATCTCTTTTATTAGCAAATTGTGGAAGATGATAATTGGTAGTAATTAATCGTACATTAAGTTATTTAATAATACCTATGGGAAAAGGCATTTTGTTACTTATTTTAAAATCAAAAATTGCAAAATCATCCTGTTTTCTAGAGTTTGTGGTCACGGTAAGCGGATAAAGTCAACCACTATTAAACGTCAAGTAGCATTATGTTTACAAATAAATCTCAATAAAAATGGTTTTTATTCCTTCAGAATGGTGATTTCAATATACAGTCGGATTTATTCTCTCAATAATGTGACTGTGCGGCATTGATAAGTGATTAACAACGCAACCAAAGCAAATTAAGAGTGTTTCTTTGCTATACCAAAAGCTATTAACCTCAATGAAAAACAACTAATATTTACACGTTTGTCAGTCTTTTTTCTTGTTAAATGCAACAAATCACGACAATTAAGCGAATTGAAGTGTTCCTAAACGATTTAAAGTTTAGTGCTACAGAAGTCAACAACTCAAAAGTTATAAACTAACCCTTATCTTAACAGAGAATTTGTAGAGAAACAGCTCATTAAAAGGCATTGAAAAGACAAGTGCTTAGAACAGAAAATGAAATAAGTGTCCAAGAAACGAATTTGTCCCCATAAAGGTACTTATATGTCTCTAGATCCCCATTGTAGTTGCTGCATTGCATGAGTCCATTACCACTGATTTCAATACAAATTAAGACTATTTTAGTATAAAAAGATCACTTTCTTGGTCATCTTTAAGTTTACTTCCATGTTTAAGTTGGGTAAAAAGCATTTTTAAGCTGTTAAAAAACTTCGCACATCTTAAGATACAGGAACATCTGAAGTGTATATTATTCAGGTGTTGGTTAACTGCAATGAGTGGCTGTTAATATCAAATAGGAATTAAGCTTAAGAAAAAAAAACTTTATTAAGGCACTAATACTGAAATGTATATGATATATTTATGTATGTATGTTTTAAAAATTACATAACGCTGTAAGTGCATTCACTTTCAACAGATTATATACATATTATCAATAAATCTTTAGCAGTTACTACATTATCAATTATAGTCTCGTGTACTTTCCATTTTCAAGTGTTGTTTAAGACTAATGCGTATTGATTTTGCTAAAAATATTATTGATACTGTTTGGATATTGAATTTGTGATGTTACTTATTTTATTGTAATGGCACTTACTTAATTTCTATTAAATACAAAGCTAACAAAAAAATATTTTATTTCATTAAACCATTTGCATGGCACTTCGTTAAATATGCAAAACACTATCGTATAATTAACTTATAAAGCTTTTTCAACAGCCATCAACAAACCTATTTCCTTTTTTGTATGGATAACACAGATTTTATAGCTACATATATAATAACTTAACAAATTTTTGCAAAAGCAACGTATGTACAGTCGTGAAAAATTACTTTCTTTTTAGACTACAATAACAGACTCCTTTTTATAAGCTGTCTTTGAAAATATTGCCTCAAATGGACGGTAAATATGATGGTTTAAATTAATGCCAAAGTGCCTTAATACGTACTGAACGAAGTATCAAATAAATTATAAATTCGTTGTATATTAGGTATATAATAATAAATTTATA